TCCCACGCTATCCTCAGACACTCTCCTGGTGCCCTACAATTCTCCTTGAATCTGAACCTCGCCTTGGAAACAGCATCAGATTCCATCTGCCACAGTTTCCATCTCAGTGCCGGAAGGTCCCATAGGCTTCTCCTGTGCTTCTGACCAACACCCACCATGTAGGTGTCTCAGTCAGGTTACTGTGATTGACTCACTCTCAGATCTTAGCAAACGTTTTTCTGTAACATAGCAAGAGAACTAATCCACGCATTTCAGTTGTTGGTGGGAGAACAATAAGTGGGAAGGACAATGGTTCTTAGAAGAAGGAGGTGGGTACACCGGTGATGGATCACTGTCACTGTTCTCCCATTGTTCATCGATTTGTTCAAGCGGGCGCAGTAACGTGTCCATTGGAGACTTTGTTGTTACTGTGTTTGGCATATCGAATACGTCACGGGTAGCTTGCCAGGCTTTGCCGTGAGGGCGAGATACTCTCGGTAGCTTGCTGGGCTCTCCGAGAGAGGTGGAGGAATCGAGCTCGGGTTGGCCATGTTGGCTGCGTGCAAGGCAAACACCCTACTGCTGTGCTATCGCTCCAGCCCACCAGTAATGGATTTGATATTAAAATTATGTTCATGAGTGTACTGTGATCCCCAGAATTGCAATAAATTTTATTCAAAGCAGTTTTTCCCATTCACAAATCCTAACTTATTTTCCAAGTGCAGAAGGAGGGAAGAGCTGAATGAACGAGAAGCTCAGGGAAGGGAAGTGGGAGTGCTGCAGGGACCCCAGTGGGGACAGGGAGGGCTGAAGCCTGGATAGCTCCCTCCCTTCCATCCTGGGTCACTGTGATGTGCCCGAGGAAATCCCCCTCTGGGAAAGTGGGCCAGGAGCCCCATGCAGGAACAGACCTCGCTCTCCCCAGCCCCAGGGGCAGAAGGAAGCTGACCTGGTGCCTATTGCTCTGTGCTGCATGGGAGATGATCCCCAAACTCCGATTGCTGGGGGAGCCGTGGATTTGGGCTGCAGCGAGGAATCACCCTTAGCAGGAGAGGAAAGTCAGTCTAGGCCCGACTCAGGCTCTAGGTCTGTCACCCTCCTCCACAGCAAAGAACTACAGGAGAGGAGAAAGGGTGAGTGAAACGGTTTGATCAGAGGTTATGAAAGAGGGAAGAAGAGAGGGAAGATGGGTAACACGCTCAAAGGAGACCATGGGCGTCTCCAGAGGTGGCGGCAGCCTTGAGCGACTTTTCAGTCTGAGTTACATGTGCTTCGTTCCCAAGAGAGCTTCAAACTGGAGATTCTGGGCACCCAAGGGTTGGTCAGGGTGTAGCCACAGGGAAGAGCTTTGGCTGTTTATGGACTTTCACCGCGCGGCCTTTTGCTTCTGTTGAAGTCTCTCCTCTCCTGCAGGGCTCCAGGTTTCCCTCAGGCCGCTGTGGCCTCAGAGTCTCATCAGGCCTCAGGTCCTATGTCCAGAAAGTGGGTCCGGCCCAAATGCTTGGAGACGCTTGAGGGCTAGAGACAGAGTCACTTCTGCAAGTTCCATCATGGCTTTATTACTCCTCAAGAACTATTGCCTGGCTCACAACCTACACAGACACACAATCACACACACACAAACACATATTCATGCGCACATAGTCATACACATACAGTCCCACACACTCACAGACACACACGTACACACATACAAACACACACAAACACACACTCTCTAACACACACAGAGACATAACTACATTTCTGCTTCAGAGGGGCCAGATATCAGCCTTCATCACCCCCAGATCCCTGAAAATCACAAACCAGATCCCACCGAACATCATGTCCTGAATTCTCAGAGCCCGTTGCAGGTACAACTCTTACTGTATTTGTCTGTGGATCACCCTAAATCTCCAGTCTCCCCTCCCGAGACACTGAAATTCAGGGATTAGAGTCTGTATTCCTCCCTTCCGGCACATGGTGACCCCAATGCATCAGCACTCCTCTGGGTGACCATCCCAAGCCACGTATTAAACATCACAAATACACCATGACGTCTTGACTTAGGAAACTGAAAGACATTTAAAAGTTCAGTGTCCACAAAACACAAAGATTGAAATGTGTTTCTTATTAGAAATCATGCTATCAACCAAGGGAGCAAATGAATAAATTAGGATAAAATTGATGGATATCACTAAGGATACTTGATGTAGCATTTTCAGTTGTTTCTCATAACAAACAATGCAAAATGTTTTATCTTGGTTGTGCTTTGGGGCAGGAATTTGGGTTCAGGATGGAAACATCCGAAATATGGCGGTGGGAAGGTGTAATGTTGTTGGGACTGGTGTTTGACTATTAAATGTAATCAAATATTCTGAACTACTTTATAAAACAAAAAAATTTTTAAATTGATGGATATCTAATCATTATGTTAAAACAACGTTCTCCAAATATGGGCAATATATGGTTTTCTTTGATTTGGGGAACACAGCTGGGTACTCGTGTTTAATTCCTATCTGTCCTGGTTTCAATTGTAGTGCTCAGGTATCAATTACTGCTCTTGCAAAATAAATTTGGGACGCTCACATACAAAGTATTCCATTGAGCCTTAACAAATTCCTATAAAGAACAAGGAGCGATAGCACAGCGGTAGGGCGTTTGCCTTGCACGCAGCCAACATGGCCGACCCGAGCTCGATTCCTCTGCCCCTCTCAGAGAGCCCGGCAAGCTACCGAGAGTATCTCGCCCGATAGCAGAGCCTGGCAAGCTACCCGTGACGTATTCAATATGCCAAACACAGTAACAACAAAGTCTCCAATGGAGACCTTACTGGGCTTGCTCAAGCAAATCGATGATCAACGGGAGGGCCTTTTTTAATTCTCTTAATTTTATTTTCTTAAGTGGCTCACATTAATGTATTACATTAACTGTTCCGGGGCCGAGATCTCTGAGCCTACTCGGATTGGGGCCGAGCATCCTCCACCCAGATCCTCCAAATTCCAGTTGGCAGGGGTCACACCCACCAACTGGCCCCCTGGCGCTGTGTAATCCCATCAGCGGCCAAGACTCAGAAACTATAAGAACCAGCTCCCGGAACTGCACGGCCGCATTTGCAGCCTCGCAACATCTTATTATAACATCTTATTATCTCATTCCTACTTTGGACAAACTGGCAGGCTACCGAATGTAGCCTGCCCACATGTTAGAGTCTGGCAAACTCCCCGTGGCGTACCCAATATGCCAAATACCAGTAACAATGATGGGTCTCATTCTCCTATAGATCCTTGAATATAATCTCAGGGCTAGGATGAAGGAGACGTTACTGGGGCCTGCTCGAGGCAATCAAAGAATAACAGGATGACTTGTTGTGATTTGTGAAAGTTTATAAAATTGGGCTGGAGTGATAGCACAGCAGGTAGGGCATTTGCCTTGCACGTGGCTGACTCAGGGGTCGATTCTGAGCATCCCATCTGGTCCCCTGAGCACCTCCAGTAGTAATTCCTGAGTGCATGAGCCAGGAGTAACCCTTGTGCTAGTTTTTTTCTTCTCCAAAAAGAAAAAAAAAGTTTATAAAATCATCCCTTAAAGTTGGTGGTTGGAAACAAGTTTTAACAGAGTTAAGAAACTTCCCTGTTGGTCTGGTGGAGTAGCTTTAGGAAATAGTCCCATCATTTTGCATCTCCCCATCCATCAAGAATATATTTGAAGTCCAGGGATCAAGTTACCCTGGAAATTGCTGCCAGTGGTGGAGCTCACAGAGACAGTGGAGGTGTGTCAGAACTCGGAGGATTCACCGTCCTGGGCTTGCAGCTCAGGGACAGGACACCTGGGGACAGAGAGCCATAGCGACTCACATGCTTTGCATAATAGAATGTTTATTAATCCTATTAGAGCTATCTGTATGTGAGGTGTAATATTGATTCTTTAAATTGTAATGTTGTCTGAGTTCTTTGTATATCTTTCTGTGTTTATTTTAATAGAATTGTGTTGAACTTGCTAGGGTTTCAATTACTTTGACCCTTAATGCTGACATTTTGAACATGACATTTTAAGAGCATATTTTCTTGTTCCTTATATTGAAATAAACCCCTTGGTGATCCATGGAATTAGGGGTAGAGTTATGTGACACAGGCTGTGTGTCTAGGTTCCATGCATTTGGGGTCAGGGTGGGGCCTCACATGTCACTTCTCAGAGCTTGCACACTGGACATCTGCAGCATGTGTGAGTCTTTATATTAGGACCAGAACTCTGGCCCAATAAATTATGTGCTGAGGACCCTTTACTGAGTTTTTTCTAAGCATAATACAGGGCTGGGATTCCTCAGTGATGATCACCAAGAATAGGGTCCTGAGGTTCATGGTCATCTTTTGGACACTGAGTTGCACACAGGACAGAGTAGGTTTTGGTACTGATGATCAGGTCAATCACACCAGGAAACTCACCGAGGCAGAAGTATCTTCCTTGTTGTCATAAAAACTGTCATCAGAGAGAATGTACATCTAACAACTACCTGTATACTTATGAATAAGGCTGCTAGAGTTGAAGGAATGGTCATCCTTAGAATGTGTCTGAGTAAACTTTGTGAAATTTGATTGACCTGTGACTTCACCAAAAGAAGTCGTAACTGAAAGTGTCAATTACACTGTGTGTTTGGTCCCAGGATTTGCACATACAGTGGAAGAACAGGAGCCACCCCCGAGGGACGCGGAGGGGTAGGAGCCTGTCTACAACGTAGAGGACCTGGGGGGCTGGGTTTGGTCATCAGGGACCTGAAACACGGGGACTTTCTTCCCTATCTGCTGATTCCCTCTCAGGAATTCCTCTTTTCTGTGAGCTCTTCAGCACGTTTCCTGTGATGCAGGAAGATGCCCTGCTCTCACAGGGCCCAGGGAGAGGGACAAACCTGAGTTCTCCTAGCCGCTAGCCTTCCCCGGGTCCCCTCTTTTCTCTACAGGTACTCCCCCATGCAAATCTGCACTCGGGACCCAGGGTTAAAACCACTTTCACACTCATCACAACTTGGGCTCCCTCTCCCCTGACACGGTGTCTGAGATCATGGACCTCGTGGGCAGGAACGTGCATCAGCGCTGGTTCCTCCTCTTTCTGGTGGCAACTCCCAGATGTGAGTATCCCCTGGACAGAGGCTCCAAGGTAGGCATGGGGCATCTGAGCTAGTGACTCACTGTGGGTCTCTGTCCCCAGGTTTCCTGTCCCAGGTACAGCTGCAGGAGTCAGGATCAAGCCTGGTGACTCCCTCAAAGACGCTTTCCCTCACCTGCTCGGTCTCTGGATACTCTCTAACCAGCTATGCTGTACAATGGGCCCGCCAGGCCCCCTTAGGGGCTGGATTGGATTGGTGGTATATGGAGTGATGGAAACACAGCTTATAACCCAAGTTTTCAGTCCCGAGTCAGCAGCTCCAGAGACACCTTCAAGAACCATGTTTACCTAAAACTGAGCAACTCAGTAACTGAGGACAAGGCTGTGTAATATTGTGCAAAATACACACAGTGAGGGCAAGTCCCTGTGAGCCCAGACATAAACCTGCTGAGGGAGATAGGGAGTTGCAGGGATGCGTGTGACCACCAGGAGTGCTGTGATCCAGGGATTCTAGGACTGTGATGCAGAGGCACGGGGAGAGGGGCTGTAAGGGGAGGGGGGCTTCTTTACTCTTTAGTTGAAATATATGAATAAAATTTAATATATTTCCTATATGTATTTTAATACATTCTAGTAATTGCTTTCTCTCCTATTACAAATTTGCTTATTTCTCTTCCTTTCTCAGAAGACTCTTAGAGACTGTCTAAGACTGTCAGAAGAGTCTTAGAGACTGTTATGTCCTGCCAGGTCAGGTGTTGTTGATTTTTCTTTAATCAAGATCATACATTTTCACAGAAAGGAGAATTTCTCTCCTTCCCTTCTTACTGTCACTGAGGGAACACCATGACAATAGTCTGAGTGTTGATATTGGTGGGTCACAAACTCACTTGTAACTTGGAGATTCTATTTTCACTTTTTAGAGAAATCTGATAGTGTTTTCCTTAGATAAGTTCACACAAACATAGAAACAGTGTTTCTCTTGGCAACCTTCCAAATATTGTTTCCTCTAGAACATTCCTTCACTCCTGTTTCATGTGTGGCTGAGCTCCTCGTGTTTCACACTTGCTAGAGTTGCTAACATATGTCAGTGTGTGCTGGGACCATTGCAGGTTTGGGACCACGGATCCAGCTCCAGGAAAATCTTCAATTATTCTACATTTGGGGGCAAAAAATTGTTCTTTGGGAAATTTAAATAGACTGAAATGGGAGATGAACTTCATTTCCTCTTCTTAGTATCACACACTTGGCACTCAGCCAGACATGGGACACAGGACACCAGCCGTGGGGAGGAGTGACCCGGTGCCTCAGAGTCAGTTTCTGACCTCCTTTCTGTAGTTTGTGCCTGAAAAGACAGGGACATTCCTTAGACTAATGTGTAAAATAGAAATAATCCCAGCATCTAAATATGCACATATTCACCTGCTTTGGGCCAGCAGGAAATCCTTTCATATGAGATAGAATTCAGGTGTTGGGAGACCCCTTCTGAGAGGCTGTGGGTCCCGCCTGTGTTCGGAATTTGCATCTCTGTATCCCTGAGCTGGAATCCTGCCACTAGACACATGGAGTGGTGAAGGTGTCACTAGGATAGTGGCCAAGGTCAGAAGTCCAGGACCACATGGTTTTGTGTAATGAGAGCTTGTCCATGTCCTGTCCCAACCTCGCTGTGACTTTCCTCTGTGACCATACTACAGTTGCGTGAAACCTGCGTGACTCTCCCTCTGTCCCTGTGACCCCTGACCTTGAAGGCATCATGCCCGTGATGGGGAGATGCTTCACTCGGAGAGTGCAGAGATACCTGGTGGATATGTGCAGAGGGGCTGCTCCCTGAGTGACAGCAGCAGTGGTTCCTGAGCAAGGTTCCGGGGATCCTGTTGGCAATGCCAGAACTCAGCACTTCCAGCTGAAGGGAGGTGGCACCTTAATTCACCTGTCGTAAAATCCGTTGGAAATTAATGTCATTTATTGAGCCAGATTTGAAAGTATTTTGAGATGCAAACTGAATAACCAAACAATTCCACTTGGTATCCTTTGACAGAGAGGACAGATACCTAGGGAGAAATGCATGGACACTTAACATTAACAATGAGCCTAGTTTTTAGAACCTAGAGAAAAGTGTTTGACAAAACCCATGAATTAAAAACTAGAGAATCAGTACTTGGAGAGATAAGCACAACTCCCATTAGTGTCCATGATGTGTCTATCAGATATGATAGAGACAATGGGATGCCTGCCACATGTGTGTTTCCCCTCAGTCTTCCCTGACATCTGGGGGCAGTAGAAGAAGTAGTATACGTTTTTCTTATTATGCAGTCTCAACAACTCAATTTTTCCTTTTAAATACCCGCAAATTACAGTAGTAGAGGTGACTTAAGAATTTATGAATCAGGGAGTAAGCTCAGAGCCCACATGATGTCACGCTTGATTTTCTCCACAAAGGGAACATTGCCCACCCAAAGTCCCACTGATGCTTAGATAACCCTGCAGGAATTTTGTTCCAAATATGGGCACAAATCTGCTCCAACAGAGGCCAAGGAGGATCAAGAAGGCAAAGGCCCTAATTGAGGGCCAGTTTTGAGACGTGTGTCAACACAAATCTATGATGGCCAGAGGCGCATTCTCAGGGGGGTCAAGTCCAGAAATGAAACTTCTGTGATAGCACCTGAGGCATTTTTCTTGCCTGTGCCCAAGAACAGACTCCTATGTGGGTCCCTGCATATTACACTGTTGCTTACCATAGTGCAGTGCTTGGTTCTACCCTCATTCCTCTCTACATGGTGCCATTCTCAGATGTCACCTGAGAATTTCCAAGTTCTCAAAGCAACAACCACTGTCCTCGTTAGCCTAAAGTTCTTACTTCTGAAAACGGAACACATTTCCCTGGGAGGCATTTTGTCAATAACACAAGGATGGTCTAGAGCAACTAAATGCAGGGTGGAAATTTCCCTAATTACACAGAGTGGAAACCTACCTCCAGCCATTGAGGAATGCCGAGCAGTGACTACCGTGAAGGAAATCTCTCTCATGCCAGGACATCAGCTAGCAGACGTCTTTGCAAAATTCGGAAAATATTGCAGAATTATTATTGTCCTGGTATGCAGGTTTCACATAGCTAACAATGGACAATTCTACCTTAATGACTCCAATGGCAATGTTGAGAAGAGTAAACAAAGTCCTGGATCAAAGTAAATTCTCCTCCGCATAATATATCAAAGAAACTTTCTTGTCAAAGATTATGATAGCTTTTTGTATAATCAGCTAATGTATCTGCTGGATACCTATATTCAGGATTTTTACAGGTTCAAAATCATATGGAACATGACAATCACAATCACAAATCATCCTATTATTTGTCGATTGCCTCGAGCAGGCCCAAGTTACGTCTCTTTCATCCTAGCCCTGAGATTTTATTCAAGGCTCTTTAGGAGAATGAGACCCATCATTGTTACTGGTATTTGGCATACTGGGTACGCCACGGGGAGTTTGCCAGACTCTGCCATGTGGGCAGGCTACATTCGATAGCCTGCCAGTTTGTCCAAAGTAAGAGTGAGATAATAAGATGTTATAATAAGATGTTGCGCGGCCGCATTCGCGGTTCCGGGAGCTGGTTTTTATAGTCTCTGGGTCTTGGCCATTGATGGGATTACACGGTGCCAGGGGGCCAGTTGGTGCGTGTGAACCCCGCCTACTGGAATTTGGAGGATCTGGGTGGAGGAGGATGCTCGGCCCCAATCCGAGTAGGCTTGGAGATCTCGGCCCCAGAACCCACGTGACTTTGTCCCTCTGCCAGTACCTTCATGTGTGTGGAGAGTGGTCTCAGCATGGTGGTGGCTGGTTCTGGAGGTCTTCAGCTGCCGGAGCCCTGGTTGGGGTGGGGAGGAAAAGCTCAACATGTTCCCCTCCAAGGGGCCGTGGCGAGGACAGCCAGGCATGGGGGCAGGAACATGACAGTTAAAATTTTACCATGCCATTAGAAACACTAAAAAACAGATGAAATTCTTTCATGGGTGAATTATTTGGTGTTTACTTTCATATTAAACCATTTGAAACCCACTAACTATTCATGGTTCCTGATGTCCTTCTTGTGGGTGTGAAATTCTGTGTTAGATGCACAGTTTCCTCTGGGACAGCCATTGTCTGTACCGTGAGTGAAGACTGGGCAGAAACGGTTTCCCGCGGAACCTGACTTGCACAAACCTTAGACAGACTGTGTCTGAGCCTGACCTACACTCAATCCTGACAGTGCATCATATTCGCATCCAGATTATTCACCCTCTTCATGGGGACTGTGTTTCAGGGTTTGGACCAGCTACAGTGGGAGGCTGTTCCCTGTTAGGACGCAATGGACGCAGAGATGGAGGCAGTGTGGGGAGTGCGTACAGCCCTACATGTCCCAGAGTCCCCAGGAGGGGTCGCCCCAACTCAGGACTACACATGGGTTCAACCCCAGGAGCAGCGAGGGATATGATTTCTGGGTGCTCAGAGCAGAGGTGAACTTTGGGGCCCACAGAGGAATGAGGTGGAGACAGTGACCTCGTGGCAGCCCTTCAGGAGCCACCATAAATTCAGATACTCCAAGGCAATTGGTCACTGAAATAACGGAAGGAGACTGAGCAGCAGGGGGCGCTCAGGCCCCCCACAAAGGCTGCAGCACAGTAGCAAGCACTGAGGGTCAGTGGGTGTTACCTCAGGTCCTGCGTTTCCCTGATTCAATTTAAAAAAAATGAAATTATCCCAGGGAAAGACTTTGTGCATGGCAGGCTGAACTGTTCAGAAATACCTGGTATTCTTGGGAGAATTAAACAACAAAAACAAAAAAAAAGATAATGACAAAAATTCAAAAATTCAAAGTACTGCCTGGGGCTCTACAAGCTTACAGAGCTTGGAGACGCGATTAATTTATTGATAGAAATGATTCCCATTGGGGCAGTTCTAACTCTCAAACACGGGGCATGGAGGTATCCAAAATCTGATATAAACCCTAGGTCAGGACTCATGGTTTCTGTGCTCCTCAAGATCCATTGC